ACAGAAGGAAAAATAAAACCTGTAAAATACGGTATTTCTCAACCTGTGGGTTTTTAGTGAGGTTGAGCTACCAACTATTTTATTTCAAAAGGGAGAGTCTCAGGGTTTATTCTTCAGAGAAGGGGCAGGCTCCTTATCAGAAAATGGCATGCTTCTCTAGACTGGAATCAGGAGACCAGGGCCCAAGTCCCAGCTGAGCGACAAACTTCTCGTATGACTCTGGACATACTATTTTGCCTTTTTTCATTTTTATTTCTTTCATTCTTATTATATCTCCTATAATTCCCTCTCAGGACTTTTGTGAGAATTGCTTTAATTCACAAATGTACTTTGAAGAGGCTTGAGAGGGAAAGTTAGGTTATGGTGAAATATGATATTGAACCAAGAGATATAATTTAAAATCAGATTAACCAAGACTCAAACTGCAGACCCGCCACATATATAGTATTGGGTGTGTGATTTTGCACAGGTTGCTCAACTGACTAAATCCTCATGGGTAAAACTAAGTGATAGTTTTCTGTGAAGTTTAAGTGAAGGAGGTATACAAAGTACCTGGCACACAGGGGTTACCCTCTGTGTTATAAGCGTTATTGTTAATAATAATATAATTTAGATGTCTGGCCTAATGATTGGGATGGGTGATAGCAGCACAAAAGAATCATACATTAAAAACAGTTTCTTAATGACTTTGCCCTTCAGAATCCTAAGGAGAGCTTTTGGAAATTAAGTATATCTGACCACAACCTAAATCTCTGAAATCAGAATTTCTGAATGTTACTGGTAATTGCAGCCATCTGCATATGACAAAAGCTGTAGAGGTCATTTAGATGATCTCCATAGCCTGCGAATAGCTGCTAGGACAATACTAAAACATAGCATGGTTACTTAGTTCTAAGTCTTTCACATTATGGAAAAATTCACCTAGTATACTGCTGTCCAATAGCAATTAGCAGGAGTATTACTAAATATTATTGGACAGCACAACGAGGTTAATCCATGTTTTCAGGGCCCTTTTGCCTGCACCCTGAGATTCAGAAGAGGTGATCCTGTCTATCCTATCACTTGGCATTTACCTCATCTGATAGGACAATGAGTGTGCCCTTCTTTAGACACTAAAATTGTTAGTCAAGGAAAAACTCAGGATCCAAGCAGAGACCAGAAGAATTCTTTGGAAGGAAAGGCGTGGCATTATTTCCCAGACAAGGCTAGGTGTGTAAATAAAGAAGCATAGCAATTTTTATTTTAAAATAAAATGTTTAAATTACGCAAAACATCATTAAAAATGCCGGTGTTTTTCCTTTTGCTACAGATTCACATGAGGATTCCTTTAAATCAGCAGTTCTCAACCTGTGGGTCGCCAACCTGTGGGTCGCGACCCCTTTGGGGGTTGAACGACCCTTTCACAGGGGTCGCCTAAGACCATCGGAAAACACATATATAATTACATATTGTTTTTGTGATTAATCACTATGCTTTAATTATGTTCAATTTGTAACAATGAAAATACATCCTGCGTATCAGATATTTACATTACGATTCATAACAGTAGCAAAATTACAGTTATGAAGTAGCAACGAAAATAATTTTATGATTGGGGGTCACCACAACATGAGGAACTGTATTAAAGGGTCACGGCATTAGGAAGGTTGAACCACTGATCTAAATAGTTCCCTGGAATGAGCATCTGAAAGGTCCCTGGGATGCTCCTATTTTACTTTGCAAGGGATGAAACCGGAAGTTAAGAATTTGGGGAACCAGGAGTGGGGATAACTGTAGCAGCCCAGGAAAGGGTCAGGAGTCCACAGGTGGGTGGTGTTTATTGGACACTTCATGTGCAAAGAAGTAACCGCGTTGTTCTAGGGAATTTGTTCTTAAGATTCACGTTGTAGGGCAGTGCATTTCCAGAGGCCAGGGTGAGGGGGCGAGCGATAGGCTGTGAACCTCTATGCAGGTTGTGCTTTACTTGGAATGAACTGAACGACCCTGTGCTAGTCTGAGACATGTTTATGCAGAATCAGAAGCAGGACCCCGTTCTCTGAAGGGCAGGAGACCCGCTGGTCCTCTGAGGTTGTGGAGGAATGGGAAGTGGCATATTGGGTCTCTCTACTCCAACTGCATTCTGGCACATAACTGGATGAATTTCAGATTTTGCTGGTGTAGAAGACCTGGCTGGAGCTGGAATGAATTTCCCCCTTCTAAGTGGCTCTGTTGAGAACCGCTGTGAGAATCAGCTGGGCAAAGGACTAAACAGGACAAGTGCTAACTGCTGGATCCGTTACTGATTGAAATCTCTATTTCCCCTTACAAAACGTATTAGTTACACACACCATCCGGGAACACGTCTATTGTGTTAATGGAACACTCTATGTGTTTAGCAACAATCTGTGGAATCATATAAAGCTTTAAACATTACATAACTGTGGAGAATGGGCAGCACCTGTCTGAGTTACCTGGAGCCATTACTATTCAGGTACACTCTGCTGAGCTAAGTCATAACTGTGGCTACGGAGAAAAGTGAGGAGGTGGAAAGGAGACTCAATAAAACAGGGACATCAAAGCAGCCAAATTATATTGGAAAATGTTAAAATTGAGCCAGTAACTGAAATAAAGATAGAATAGTAACAGGTGGCTCCTTCCCCTGCACATAAGTAACTCTCACTGCTGATAATGGAGGCTTTGTGTGCATCCCAGGAGACTGTATTTCTCGGTAATATTCTTGGGGGAGAAACTGCAGACAATGGGTGGAGGAGTAGATGAAGATGGAAACATACACAAATAAAAATTCATTGAGAGTTCTTGTTGGAATCTGACCTAATGGCAGTCATGCTGTATGAATTTTTATCCCCTTCAGGTCTTCAAATTATTAAGCCCATTCTGGAAAACTACACTCATGACAAACCTGTCTCTCTTCCTCTTTCCTCTCTCCATACCCTCCATAATACATATGTGTGGTATTGACATTAAAGGATACATAAAACCAGTGTGGGAGTGTTGAATGGAGTCGTAGTTACAAACAGGGACTTTGGAGATTGATAGACTTGGCTTTGAGTTTCTGCCCTTCCACTTATTAGCAGTGGAAGCTTCAGTTGCTAATCTATAAAATGGGAATAATAATAGTACTTACCTCAAACACCCTTCTGAGGATTAAGTGAGATAATGCACCAAGAGCTCCTGGTGCACAGCAAATGTTCTCTAAATGCTCATTATTATAATTATTTAGTGACTGGAGAAGAAGGTTTACTTTGGTCACTTGAATGCTTTGAGAAAGACCAGAATTCATTTATGTTTGAATTGAGTCCTCAGTAGATATCAAGTGAAAGACAAGTTGATGATTCATATCCTTGTATGAGTTTCAAAATAAGATAATCCAAAGTCACATCCCAGTTATAGTCTCATGGGCATGAGTGAAGCACAGCAAAACATACTATCAACCCACATCTTAGTAACAGGTATGTTTAGGACAGAGCCTCACACAGTGTTTAATTTTATGGCAGGAATTCTTTTGCTTGCCTGAAACACATAGCCTTCCAAGTCAGGGTGAGAACATAGCAGACAAACCATGTGACTAGCATTCGAGCTTGGTTCAGATTTGCTTTCTTTTCATTAGACATTGTTAAAGTTGGTATAATTTGTGCATTTGAACTGAGCATTTAGCATCTATTTTTGTCTGAAAAGGAGAAGCCCGTCTCCCCTAATTTGGAAGATTCAGGTGAGTATTCCACACACTAAGAATCTATTTGTAGTTGGAGGTGTCAGATAACTTATGAATGGAACCCCCTGGGATTGTCTCCCGGGATCTCTGGGATCTGAGCCATTCTGTGGCCAACATGGACCAAGGCCTGCTGGCTAGTGAATAGGCTGCTCAGGCTCTACCTGCTCCCCAGTGCAGAGCAGGGGAGGAGGTCCTGTCCAACTAAACCATGGACAAAGAGATCCAACTAGTTTCAGATGTTTGTACTAACTGGCTAGTAATATTTAGGACTAACTTGACAATTGGCTAATTTCTTCCCCTCGTCTTCCTTCTCCCACTCCTACCCTCTGAGACTTTGGTGTCATGTAGGCCCAGACCCAGAGTACCATTGACAACCCTGATTTATTTCAACACTTCAGCAGCTTTCTCATCAGCAGTGTCTTGAGCTCATGCTTTGTCTTTCAGAGCCTGGACTATTGTTTCATGAGCCTGACATTTTTTTTTCTGACCTCTACTAACAGCTTCTGGCCCTTTGTATGCACTCAGGTTAGTTGCTGTTTTTATTTAAAATTTATGCTCTTCTGCTTGGCTCAAACTCCTTGATTTGTGATCTGGTCACACCTGCATTGCTCTATCTAATGTGAAATCTTATCTTATTTTCTAGCATCTCTCTTTCTGTCCATGACATTTCTTTGGCTTCTTGAATTTTCATTTTGCTTTCACTCCTTCTAATTACAGATTTGAAATGTCTACATTATACCAACAAGGAATAGCAATCAATTCAGAAGAGAACACTGTGAACTATACCTTATGTATTTAAAGCACTTTATCATTATATAGAGCATCTACACATACACAGTGTCTCATGTGATCCTCACAACAACCCTGTGAGGTAGGTGTTCAGACGTCCATTTCATAGGGAAGGGAGTGGAAGTGGTGAGATACATATAGGCACACTACTCAAAATTCTACTAGATCCTAACGCTGTGAATCCTGGGGTTATGTGTTAAACCTTGAAGGAAGGAGGAGTTGTGAAAATGTGATCTATTAGTAGAGAGTCAAGAATGACATGGAACCCCACATATTTCCTATTCTTTTTTCTTGATCATCCTTTTCTAACCTTTCCTCCTTTCTCATTTTTAGCCCTTTCTTCACCTACACAAAATATTTCCAGTTCTACTGAAATATTTCTTTTCTCCAGGATCTATATTGGATATTTATAGCACAAGATATATCGCTTCTCGGCCTTTTGGCTAAGATCAAGTGTTGTTCTTATCAGTTTAATATAGCACAAGATATAAAGAGCTTTTTAGAATTAAAAAAATTATCAGCATTATTTTTTAATGACAAAAAATTCTTACTTGAAATGGCCAGGTAATTTTAGAAAATGAGTTTTGTTTTTTATTCAAATGTGTTGAATGAACTGTTACCTCACTATAAAACTTGAAAAAAATGCTGTAATTTAGTAAGAAGACAAGAAGGTAAACTAAGCAAATCAAAATCAATTTATCTTTTTAATGTCCTAAGAAATTAAAAAATCCTGATCTCCTCTAAACTCCTATAGAGCCCTGTTCTTCCTCCAATACAGTTCCACTGTATTTTATAATTGCCTATTTACATGTCTATGTCTTTCAGGAATAATTAGCTCAGTAAGGCCAGATACAACAGCAAACTTATTAGCTGTGAAGTTCAGATACAGGAGGTATAGGATAAACATACGTTGAATGAATGAATGAATGGATTTTCTTTTATGTTATCCCTATTGCTGGCTGAGGCATGTTTTTGAAAGTAAAGAACCCACATTTAGTCCGTACCCATGGGATTTCTCTTAGAACCCAATGGGCTAAATTGGTTCGGCAAGCACTAGATGAGTGGGTGGCAGAGGATTCCTTGCCTGGCGCTGAGGGCTGGTTGGAAAAGATGCCAGTCGGTACAATGGAAGGGATACCAGTTAGGGATGCTAGGGGATGGTGGCGATGGTGGGATACTAGAGTGGGGAGAGGTATGAGCTTATGCTCATAACAGAGGCCCAAACAGCACCCAGGACCAGGAGAGGAAGCCGTGAGGAAGCTGGGCACCACGCGGGAACCAAAGTCGTTTGGAGGAGCCACAAAGGGATCTTGGAGTCAGCTGTAGTGGTGACTTGTCCAGAGGTGAAGGGCCTTTTAAGGAGATGGTAGCAGAAGGTGTCCCGTCAACCCACCTGATCTTAAAAGGGTCCTGCCCTAATATGATCAGGGAGTGATACCGGTCCTGACACGTATATAAAAGAGGAAATCAATTATTATTTGTAGTATATTTAAATCATGCCTGAAAAAATATAAGACTGTATATTGAAATAATTTAATATAAATTTTTATATATCAGAATTAATTGAAGATGTGGGGAATCAGGCACTTCCATATAGACTAAATTGGTACAATCTTTTAGGAGCCATTTACAAGAATCCATCAAATTGCAAAATGCATGTTATTTTTGAACTATTGATTCTACTTCTGGAAAATTCTATTAAAAAATATTCCCACAAGATCATGTATAAGAATGCTGTATGTAGCATTGTTTATTAAAGCCAATTCAAAGCAAACAAAATCTTCAAGTGTTCATGGCTAGTGGATTGAATGATATATTATGATAATTATGGTATAGATGTACAATGGAATGATGTATAGCCATTAAGAACAAAAAGGTAGAGCCATATGTACTGACATGGGCAGATGACTGCCATATTAACTTTAAGTGAAAAGCAGAACATAATGTATAGATGTTTGTGTATATGATTCTTTCTTTTTGAAACATAGAGTTATATACTCTCCCTGGAGTCTGAAGGCTATATATACTTATACACAGAAATATCTCTCTTAATGCTTTCTCAAAGAAAAAATGCACATGAACCTCAAACATCCAGGAAAATATCTGAAATTGAAAACATTTCTGAACACATCTAAAAAGCATTTGATAACCTCAGGCAACTGAAGACTGTGTGAATGTGTTTGATTTACAGACTACAAATAAAGAAGTCCTGTATTTGCCAAGATTAACCAGTCATAGTTAAGTAGCTCAGAGAAAGTCTCAAGGAAAGGAGAAAAGGAGATAAAGAAGAACCAAAGACAAAGGTAGAGATAATGATAGAGAAAAACAGAAAGATAGGGAAGAGTGAGTTATACAAGGAGCTCAACTGAAAATAAATGGATGACAAGAAGAAAGGGGAAAAAGTGGGAAAAAGTATATAGTAGATCAAAGTGATCAAAGGAAAAAAGATATACTAATGTTTTCACTATCTTAATATAATAACACCAGTAATCATTGAATAACACTAAAGCACTGTGAGGAGACACACAATGTTAGTGTTACTTAATTCAAGGGCAAAGAGATCAACAATGCAACATTGATGGAAAGGCATTCACAATAATGACGCTAAATTGTCTAAAGATGGCATCCACACACAGAATTAGGTTAAAATAATTACTTTTGTTAATGCATAGAAATTGGTACTGAATTTTTAAATTATAATTATCATGGAAAACTGCTAGCTCTGTTTGTATGTTAAAGGATTTGCCATAATCTGTGTATTGATTCTACTTCTGGAAAATTCTCTATTAAGAATATTCCCACAAGATCATGTATGAGAATGCTCTATGTACCATAGTTTATTAAACCCAAATCAAAGCAAGCAAAAATCTTCAAGTGCTCATGACTAGTAGATTGAATGATATATTATGGTAATCGTTGTATAGCTGTCCAATGTAATAATGTATAGCCACTGAGAGCAAAAATGTAGAATCATATATACTGACATGGGTAAAGATTATGATCCATGTGTATGTGTACCAGCTATTCCCACAGACATACACACACACATTGCAAGTAGCTCCTATTGGGAATACATGGGAGCAATCCGTGAATTCTAAGAAGTAGGGATTCCTTATTCCTTTTCATAATCCTTTCATTATATCTGTGTAGATTTGGCCAAGGCAGTGATTGCCTATGGCATATGGAAGATGTCTCGTCTAATATTTAGTTTGGAAGGCCCAATTTACAGATTCTCTACCTTGCAATATGAGGTTAGCCTCCATCGAACAGAGATTCCTTTTGTGAAATCTCTTCTTTTGTAGTTTTGAAGGACTCTGACATAGAATACCGCTTTTCACATTTTTAGTTAAATAAAACAAAACACAAAACCCCCAGCCACCTGAGAATTAGTCTGTCAAGGTTCTTAGATTGTCCAGGTTCCTATATTAATATTTCTGTTAGCTCAGGTAACAGGTAAGGTGGTTGTAATTGTTCCTTCAACAAATAGACATTGGCTTGAAAATTGAACAATTTTCTACATGGAATTTTTGGAAAATTGTGCTCACCACAAAACCAAAACACAAATGGGTAATGAGATTCAACGTGTTGTACAATTTTAATCTACTTGTTTTACTGCAATTAGCACACTGTGATTGTAGAAAACAGGGGCTGACTTCCACAGACTCTCCATGGATCAGTGCTGAAGCTCTTCCACAGCAGTTGCCTCAAGCCCAGATCGCTACTATCAAAGCTTGTTTATTACAGAGGTGCACAGAAAAAAAAAAAGAAAAACAATAAACTATAAACTTACATGCCAAGCTTCTACTCCCTTTTTCCCCTTTCTGGCCTTTTTGTCCAGGATTTCCTTGGGGGAAAATAGAAGAAGAAAACAAACAAACAAAAAAAACACTTTAAGAATTCTGATAATTCATAATGCTTGCTTTAAATGGAGACAGAACATTACAGAGTAATCTAAAATATCACTTTATAACAACCTACAGAATTCAAATATAATGTTAATGTTGATGATGATGATGATTATATTATTTCAGAAGCCCTATTACAAACCTGGCACTGTTCTGGGTAGATCCTTTACATACATTATCTTAAATAATGTACAAGGGCATTAAATGTCCATTTTCCTAAAAGCAGGCAAAACTAAGGTATAATCAATTAGGTTTGGGCTTATTCATATTTTTTTAAAAAATAAATATTCCTGTTTCTTTTTTAAAAATATATTTTTACTAGAGGCCCGATGCACGAAATTCTTGCATGGGTAGGGTCCCTAGGCCTGGCCGGCAATCAGGGTCGATCTGTGGGGCAACCAGGGAGTGATTGGGGGGCCCCTGCTGGCACTCACCCTGGCCAGCCTGGCGCCACCCACTTGCCAGACCGGCCCCCCACAGCAGCTGCTGGTCTCCTCCCTCTGTGGGGTGACTGGCGGGGCAACTGGGGGCGGGGGGCCCTGTTGGCACCCTCCTTGGCTGGCCTGGGGCCTGCCGGCTGGGGGTAGCTCCTCCGTTGAGCATCCCCCCCCCCCCCCGGTGGTCAGTGTGCATCATAGTGACTGGTCATTCTACTGGTTGTTCCGCCATTAGGTCGATTTGCATATTAGACTTTTATTCTATAGGACTGATTTCAGAAAGGAAGAGGTAGAGAGAAAAAGAAACAACGATGAGAGAAAATCATGGATTGGCTGCCTCCCGCATGCCCCTATTGGGGATCGAGCCTGTAACCCAGTCATGTGCACTGACTGGGAATCAAACCGTGACCTCCTGGTTCATAGGTCCACACTGAACTACTGAGCCACGCTGGCTAATGGTTATTCATTTTAGTTGTTCTCTTGACTTTGCCTTCCTCCCTACCCTAGGAATCCTGGAATCTTCCACCTCAGTCTTAACTGTGTTGTTCTATTCCCATTACAATGTATCTGTCTTGTTTTCCTTCTCCTTAGACTGGTGCATCCCAAAGACTGGGCTGTGAATGAATTTCTGGGAGTGCAATCCCTGACCTATTGAATCAGAAATGCTGGGGGTCAAGCCTGGCAAGCTGTTTGAACAGGCCCTACAGATGATTCTGGTGTCTGCTCAAGTTTGAGAACCACAAACCCAAAGAAATTCCATGCATATTTCAGGTCTGCGCTAACACTAACATGTTTTGCTGTACAGAATCAATCATTCTCTACTCTCTATTCCCATAGCATTTTGTCCTGCTTCCTACAGGCTTATGACTTAGCACATTGCATCAGAGCTAACTGCTTCTGCATTTCTCTGTCACCTGATCTTTGACGGAAGCGACTATGCTATATTTATCCCCAACACAGTAAACTCTCACAAAATTGTGTTGACTGGGTGCATGAATGAATGAATGCCCTTCCAAGTACTTGGGCTAGTGGACATTTGTTTAACCTTAGGGCTCTAAAAGTAGAAAAATGCCTAAAACTTGTAAAAGCTATAGTTAAAAACCAACATGTATACACAGCTTGCTTTATGATAAAAATTGTTTGAAGCATTTTAAGGAATCTATTGATTACTTATAGTTTATAGTATATATTCATTTATAAAATTAATCATTATGATTTAATGTCAATAGGAAGTTACAAATAAACTGTACCAGAAAGAGACCCAAACAAAATCTTACCATGATTGTTTTTATAGGAAGTCTAAAACATAGGGTCCTCTTATTAGCACTGTTTTGTAGATAAGAAAACTGAGGCACAGAGAGGCTAACTGTGTGGAGAGGTAGGATTCAGATGTAGGATTCAAATATGTACTATCTCTGTAAGATACAAATATATACTATACTACCCCTGTTTTTCCCAAAAGGGCAAAGAAAATATTATATATGGAATAACTATGTGCGCCCATGAAATTCAAGACCAAGCCACTTTGACAAATGTTTAATCCCCCAAATGAACAATCTAAGATTAGATATTTCGCATAAACTTTACAGAATCATTATTTTAATTAAACTTTTTAAAAATATATATTTCTTTTATTTATTTCAGAGAGGAAGGGAGAGGGAGATAGAAACATCAATGATGAGAGAGAATCATTGATTGGCTGCCTCCTGCAAGTCCCCTACTGGGGATCGAGCCCGCAACCTGGGCATGTGCCCTTGACTGGAATCGAACTCAGGACCCCTTAGTCCACAGGCCGACAGTCTATCCACTGAGCCAAATCAGCCAGGGCTAATTAAACTTTAAAAAGAGTAGTCATTGTGAGGAAATTTCTGGAAGATAACTCCTCAAGGGTAGGGAACTAGCTTGTCTTGTGTCCTCACCTGCAAGCACAGTATATGAGGCCATGTAGGCACTCAGTTAATGAGGTAAGCTATTTCTCCTTTAATAGGGCAATTTGTGCTATAGTTATTCTGGGGTTTATTCCTAACTTCTTCCCTGACCAGTTACAGAGGAAAGTTGTGCAAAGTTAACAGACTGTTGGGAGAACAGTCCGGCTCTCTTTAACATTCCTAAAATTTCTGTGTCATTTCCTCTTTTTGTATAAATTTCTAGAAAGACAAATTAGTTCATCATAAAATTAATCATTATACACTGCACCAGAAAGAGTCCCAAACAAAATATTACCATGTTTGCCAAGGATCCTATCTAATAAAGGGGGAATATGCTAATTGACCCTCACACCGTTGCAAAGATGGCGGTGTCCACAGCCAATAAGGGAATATGCTAATTGACTGCCACACCCTCAAAGATGGCAGTGCCCACAGCCAATAAGGAGGGAATATGCTAATTGACTGCCACACCTTCAAATGTGGTGGTGCCCACAGCCACAAGATGGTGGTACCCAGTCCCCTCAGCCCCTCCGGGGCAGCAGGCCTGCCTCTGGAGGCCCCCAGTCCCCTCAGTCCCCAGCTGCCCAGGGCTGGCCCAAGGCGCAGGCAAGCCTTGGATGTTGGCTGCCCATGGCTGCCTGAGGCTCAGGTAACCAAGGCCGGCCAAGGCTTGCACTGCTGGCAGTGGCAGCAGCAGAGGTGTGATGGGGGCATCACCTTCCCCTGATTGCCAGGTTGCCTCCCACCCCTGAGGGCTCCCAGACTGTGAGAGGGGGCAGGCCAGACTGAGTGACAAACCCCCCTGCACGAATTTTGTGCACTGGGCCTCTAGTAGTAAATGACCAGCTCTTTGAGATACATAGTAGACTAATACACCATTTTAATTTTAAACTTAGAATACAGATGAAACAGGAATTTTTAGGGGTAAAAAGGCAGGTTTTAGAAATTAAGGGGACCATGGAAGAAACACAGGGCTGCAGAGCAGCAGAAGGTATATTTCCATAGAATAGGGGAGCTGAAAAGCTGCAACAGGCACATTTCCATAGAATGGGGGAGCTGGAAACAGAAAAGATCTATATTTACAAAATAAAGGGAAGGAAGCCCTTTATCCAGAAGGAGAAGAAACCCCAAAGGGAATAGGAAAATAATAAAGAAGGAGGAGAGGAAAACCTCCCATGTCCCCTGTGAGGTTGACCTTTGAGTTCAGAGGTTACTATAGTAACCAGTCCAAGGAAATAGTGACCAATCAGAGGGGATATCAAGGGACCAAGATCTGCAGCCTTTATAAGCCATAGGGAAAAGGAGCTCAGTGGGACTCTTTCCCCATCCCCTTGTGGGAGTCTGTGCTGTGAGAATCTTTCCCTTTCCACACATGGGAGTCTGTACTTGTTCTTCAGTAAATTTCTACCTTTGCTATACCACCTTCCGTCCATGGTTTTCATTCTTCGATTCACACAGACAAAGAGCCCAGGAACCATTCTGCCCAGGGGGAACACTGCGTTTTCCAGTCCAAAAATTCCGTTTCACAGATAAAATATGTTTTCTCACTTCACAGAATTATTTTGAATTTTCTTAGAATCTATAAATAGCTTTGAAATTTTGTCAAATTCAAGATTTTTAAATACTTTTCTACTGAACCCAACTTGTCATATAGGAAATTCACAATTCCTAAGTGATGCAGATAACTTCCAACAAATTAACAAATGAACAAACACTTCTTCCCAGGATGCCAAAAAGGCCTGTTTAAAGCTGGATGGTTTTAGAGATGGTTGGTGCCTAAATACACCATTCAGTTCAGGGACTCAGGTCTCTGGTGGAGACAGTGTAGGTTGCATATTTGTGGCCAGCTGATTTTCCTCTAAGCCTAATGCCACTGGCAGTCCATAAACACTGACAGTGACAAAAATACCTCAACGTACCTATTAGAATTGCTAAAATCCAAAACACTAACAACACCAAATGCCTGAGGATCTGGGATAATAGGAATTCTCATTCACTTTTGGTGGGAATGCAAAATGGTACATACACTTTGGAAGACAGTTTGGCAGTTTTTTACAAAGCTAAATACAAGTTTACCACGCAATCCAGCAATTGCACTTCTAGGTAAACTCATGTTCACACAAAAATGTGCATATGTATGCTTAATGCATCTTTTTTCAGGATTGCCAAGATTTGGAAGAAAGTAAGATATTCTTCAGTTGGTGAATGGATAAATAAACTATAGTACATGCATATAATAGAATATATTGAGCGTTAAAAAGAGCTATCAGGCCACAAAAAAATATGCAGAACTTTAAATGTATTCACTTAAATTGCTAAGTGAAATAAGCCACTCTGAAAAGATTACATATAGTTTGACTCCAATTATATGACATTCTGGAAAAGGTAAAAGTATGGAGGTAGCAAAAGGATCAGTGGTTCGGAAGGAACTGGGTGAGGATGTCCTAAATATCAAGATATTTAGGATAGTAAAATTCCTCTGTATCTATACTAATAAAAGGGTAATATGCTAATTAGACTGGATAGACCAGACGCCTTCTGGATGTCCTTCTGGACAAAGCCACGATGGTGGGGGCTGAGGCAGAGGTGGTTAGGGGCAATCAGGCCGGCAAGGAAGAGCAGTTAGGGGCGATCGGGCTGGCAGGGGAGAGCAGTTAGGGGAGATCAGGCCAACAGGGAAGAGCAGTTAGGGGCGATCAGGCAGGCAGGCAGAGGAGGTTAGGGGTGATCAGGCAGGCAGGCAGGTGAGCGGTTAGGAGCCAGCAGTCCCTGATTGTGAGAGGGATGTCCCCTGCGGGATCAAGTCTAAACCGGCAGTCAGAAATCCCCCAAGGGATCCCAGATTGGAGAGGGTGCAGGCTGGGCTGAGGGACCCTCCCCACCTGCACGAATATTATGCACCAGGTCTCTAGTGATATTATAATGGTGGATACATGCAATTATTCGTCTAAACCCATAGGATGAACATCACCAAGAGTGAACCCTAATGTAAACTGTGAACTTTAATTAGTAATAATGTATCAATACTGGTTTGTCATTTGTAACAAATGCACCACACTAAGGCAAGTTATGAATAATAGTGGTAACTGGCCTGGCCAGTTTTTGAGTTTTGACCTATGAACCCAGAGGTCACAGTTAGATTCCCAGTCAGGGTACATGCCCAGGTTGCGGACTCGATCCCCAGTAGTGGGTGTGCAGGAGGCAGCCGATCAATGATTCTTTCATCACTGATTTTTCTGTTTCTCCCTCCTCCTTTCCTTCCTCTCTGAAATCAACAAAAATATATTTAAAAAATAAAAATAATAGTGGTAACTGTACGTGGATAGGTGGCATATGGAAAGTATATATTTTCTGTGCAATTTTTCTAGAAACCTAAAACTATTCTAAAAAACATACTCTATTTTTAAAAAATGATAAAGATCATATTCTCTTGGTCATAATTTACTTTAAATTAGGAAAAAATAAACCTGTTCAAGTCTAAATGTCTGTGCAAAGTTCACAATTCAAGTTTAAGCTACTGACTAGTGTAAGGAATAGAAATAATATCATCATGTATATAAATCTTAAATGACATGAATAATGTTGATTATTAAGTAGTAATATGTAATAGCAGGCAGTTTATCTTGCATAGGATAGGATTTCAGGCTCATCTGTGTTTTCCTAACTATACCTTGAGAGGGTTTGGCTGGTTTTGGTTAAAGCAATATTTATACTTTGCTTGTTTGTCTTTGCCAGTCTTTCCTCTCTCTTTGTTCTAAAATAGATACCATTCTTCATGGTGATTTATGGTTGTGTGGAGTTTATAAATCCTCGTTGTTGTTGTTTAACTATTTTCCTTTGGGACATAGAAACTTTCCTCAAGAGAATAATAATCAATTTCAAAATGTTTCAGACCACTAAATATACTGCATTTGAGGGCTACTATTCATACTGTGATGACCATTGTTATGTAAGAAGCTGCAAAAATACCTATGATCCAGTATTTATTTTACATATTCTATGAAGAAAATACATTATCGTAATACCTGGCCTCCCAGTCTTCCCTGCTGGTCCTATGAATCCTCGACTTCCAGGAAAGCCAATCGATCCACGATCACCTTTAAGACCTGGAGGACCTGCATGGTTAATGAATAAAAAATAAATAAACAATAATTCATTTTTCATTTAGACTCTGGAGTATAATGAAACAATATAGTTTCATTAATGAATATGATATAGCTGACTCTCCAAATAATAGTATCTTTCCTAAAATTCCATATACTATATCTATACAGTAAGTAGAAACATTCATTTTACATCTAAACAGTAGGTAGTAACATTATTAGTACATTGTAGGTTTTCAATAAATAACATTGTTATTACAAATAAAAGCATATCAGGGGGAAAAAGTCTTGGCGTTTTAACCAGAGGGCTTATGTTATCTAATCAGGAATCTTCAAATGGCAGGATTTGCTGTAACTATAATGATAACTTTTAAATGTATAAGCTGAAAACTGAAGTCTTAAGATTTGGCCCAGAAAAAGCACAGCTCAAGCAATGAGAAGTATCAAAGAGTATTTATTTTTAAAAATCAGGGTCCTAGTTTTGGAATATATTACTCTAGCTCTCATGAAATTGTTTTTAAATATTCCATTATAATCCAGAACAACAATGTAACTCCACACACACACACACACACACAGTTGTTTTTTCACTCTAACCTGCTATGTTGACTATAAAAACTGCATATAAAAGCAAATATTTTCCTGTTGAATAAAATATGCCATCTGAAATCAAATAGCTTGAGATAAGTTATGGTAAAAATACCATTTTAGGTATGTTTATCAGTTCCCAGAGCACATTGGGAAGCATATTATGAAAAATTGATTATAAATCTTTTGCCAATGTCAATCTCTTAATATACGGCCACCACTTTACAAGTTCCAGGAGGCAGGGCTTATACATATTTAATTCATTAAAAAAATATTTTCTTAAGGTTCATCATATAGAAGCCTAAATTTGGGCTAACTGTTCTCTAATAAATATTCAGTTTAAGAAGTATATTATTATAATTAGTTAGAAGTATTATTCAACCTTGTGTAAAAGTTGAATTCCAACAGGCATGAAGCAGATATTCAAAGAAATAAAATGATAAAATATGTTTAGAAATATTTGTAAAGTCAGGACATCTCTATTTTATTTAATTATACAATATGTACTATGTTATATATGTTGGTATATTGTATATATACTGGTATATATATGCACATATATAGATAGATTTCATATATAGTATATGTGTGTGTGTGTGTGTGTGTGTGTGTGTGTGTGTGTGTGTGTATATATATATATATATATATATATATATGGTGTATACACGGTATGCATATATATATATAGTTGTATACATAGCATACAGCCTAAAAAAAGACCTGACATCAGTTCTCAAAACAGGCTGATAGGTTAATATTTATACCTTTCTTCATTCTCCAAGCAAGGCAGTCAGACCTTTGCACTTGCAAGTATTAAGATCTGTCTCTCAAATTTACAAATAAAAACTGACTCTGAACTTTCTTTTTCTTTATCTTAGAACACTCTCCACTTTTTATAAAGTGCCACTCACTGGTGACTCCCATGTTGACCATTTTCTCCATTAATCCAACCATAACATACTGAGCATGCATATTGTTCCAGTCCCTGCCCATTCTGGAGTTACAAAGGCTCTTATCCAAACAGATCTTCCAGTGTGGAGACAGATGGTACCAAAGTTAACAGATAAACATAGGAGGTAATTTTGGAGATTAAAATTTTAGGAAAACAAAGAAATGTAATAGAGAATGCCTCTGGGGATCAGAAAGAGCCTCTCCAATGACGGCCCACTGAGTACATCAGAGTGACCTTCAGAATACAGCGGTTCAACCAGAGAGTATGTTACCTTCTCAATAAGTGAACAAATGAATCCATAAAAAAAGCACGTGTGATGCTAGAAATTACTCAATTGACAGGCCTCTATTATGGGATGTTTAAGCCGACTCCATATTGCCCAATGGTTCGTTTAATGATGTCTGAAAATGTGACCCCTACATATAAGCACCACTATTGAATTTTATTCCAAGAGATCAGATTCTCTGAGCCTTTTAGGTCAATTAACTAATTCTCTGCAATAATCTGTGGCAAGAGGAAAGAATCTGGCACCTGCCTCTAATCCACAGGCAACACAAGTACATTTTACACAGAATCTCAGCTATGACATCTTTTAAGGGCCTTACACCTCGTTTGATTCAAGTCTCATTTTATAGAGGCAGGAACAGAAGACAGAGAGATCCAGTTGTTTATATAACGCTGGTCTGACCATGATCCACACATCCTGGGTCCCTAGCTCTCCATTCTGGCTTCTTTCTGTGGTCTAGCTGACTGGTTAAGAATGCGGAACCTGCAGTCCTGTCCATCTGGGTTCAAATACTGGCTCTGCCTCTTAGCTGCTGCTTGATTTCTGGCCGGCCACTTAACCTTCCTGGCATCTATAAAATGGTATATTATTTGTCCCTATAGCACAAGCTTGATGTGATTATTAAAAGAGCTAATTAATGTAAAAACACTTAGAAAAAGTGCCTGCCTTATGATAAATGCTTTCTTCGCCCTCCTCCTCCTCCTTCTTTATAGTAATATAATTATTATTTCACCAGCCTTTTGTGAAGACTGCTAAATTTAGTTTTATTTAATGATATGTACATAGTTAGCAGTGCCACCTTTTTAATTCATTGCCACAACTTGTGTATTTTAGCAAGCACTGTCCTGAGAAAGCCTGAGGCGGGGCCTCTGTAGGTCAGTCTGGCAGTAGAGTGGGCTGGAATAAAGACATGCCTGGAGATAAAGTCTGATACCATATGGTTCCTGTACTCCAATATCCAACATGAGGCTAGAGTTCATTTATCCTCCAGAGGCATGATTCCATGGTGGAAAATACAGACCACATAAGGAAAGTCAACAGCCCCAGTGGATGAGAATTTTACAGCCAATGAGTCTTTGGTTCTCCCTCAAGGCATCTTATGAAGGTCAGGCTCCCCTGTGATCTCATAATGGGAAGAAAGGCTACCAAGAGGTTTCTTTAGGAACTACGAGGTGTTCTTCAAAGTATTCCCAATGTGATGAAATAACCCTAAAAGTGGCCCCCCCAAAATCTCATGTGAGATCAGGAATCCTTGATCATGACACTCATCACCCTTATGTAATTGCTTATCATACTGTAAGTTCTGTGAAGGCAGAAACAGCATTTCTGTGCACTGGATCCACAGAGGCCTTTGACGCACCAGACACAGGGAAAGAAGAGTATCTCGAGTAAAAGGCAATAATAGGTCCTTCTCCCTGGCATAACTCTGAGGAAATGACACTCTGAAATAAATTTCTATCATATTATTTTGAGGTAAAGCATATTTTAGCATAATATCCACCCCGTACATGAGTAAAATTGTGATGGTATTGATTACTTAAGACCACCAGCACAACCACTTAAGTTTCTCAGATTTTCATATTATTGGTGTGAGTCTAAGTGACTTTGACTTGTCAAGCTGAGTTTAGTGGATTTCATTAGATGTATAGGTGGAATTTTAATAAACTTGCTCAAATCAGGAAGTAGAATTATCCTGACAGTCCATTATATATTCTTAACTTCTTTGTTCCAGTACCAACTATGGCCAGTTCGGCAATTTGGCAGAGGACAAAACAGAATGCGGCAATTAAGGAAGGAGGAATTCATTAAGAGAGACGCCTGATGACTTGGGTACTTCTGTGACAGTACAACAAACCAAGTGGTGACCTAACCATCTAAAAGAGTCCACTTATCACCCCAACAAATGAAATTTTTCTGTTATGAGGGCCTGGATAATGCCTATTGTGTACCGGTAAATGAGCAGAACCAATAGCAATAGACTAAGCTCTCACTACAAGAATCAAAGCAGCTTTGCCATGGCATTTGTTTATGGTATTAACTAGAGCTAAGGCTTGTAAATCCTTCTTTGTGTTTCATGCATCCATAGTTCAGAAAGAGCTGCAGAAGATGCTCCCAGATGAGGCTTTGCAGGGCAAGTTGTAACCCATTCTCCACTTTTATGGCTGAATTATAAAGCTGTGACAATTGTACTCTGTGATGGAGGAGCTGACAGGCCTCTGACAATAGCAGCTCTGGCAGCTGACTACTACTGGTTACTTCACCTGCTTAGGCCATTAATGCACCATTATTAAGATCTGCTTAATGCTAGTCAAGTAGAAAGACTTTTCTGAATAAAGAATCTTCCCTGACAGTACTTTCAAATACATACAAACAACTATATATATATTAGGTATTTTTTTCTTTGAAATGATTTTTAAAATTTTTCTCACATAAACCTCATATAATGAGTTTTTAAACACAATGATGTAAAGGTCAGGTAGGTGTAAAATCCATGCTTTCCATTTTTAAAAATTATTTTTCTGATGTCACCTGGGGTGGTCAATACATTGATTGGAAAAAATAGTATTTCATATAATCAGAAGACAGAAAAATAAGATGAAGTACATGATCTTTAGACACTTTTGTCAGCACAAACCATCTCGTTATAATTAGACCATGCAATATACTCCCCACTTTCAAAAAACAGGTGGGTATTTGATTTCTAGCCAAGAATAACATGACAATCATGTTATTGTTACTGTCTTCTTTATTTTCTTGAGATCAAAGAAAGTTTATGCTCTTTCGCCTTTTCTGTCTTCTACTATCTTCTTTCAAAATATTGCTTTCAATATTATAACATAGACAGAGAAAAATCATTTGAAACAGTTTTGCTCTAACTAAAATTACAGAGAATATCTGTCAGCACAGGAAAAAATCACCTGCATTCTAGTCAATATTTACATTTGGATTTCATAGGTTTATGCAGATATATTCCACTTAAGGGCTATACAAGAAATATAAGCGAACTTGCTTTGGACTTACATTAATGAATATTTTTGTATCTCAAAAACCAGATAACTTGCAAATATATTTAAAGTGAAGATGATTTTCATGTTCTCTTTCACATGTGATTTAAACCTAGATCACTGCCATATACTGTCTTCAGCCCATGGTACAGAGACTCCCTACATTTATGAGGTTTATGAACCACCCCATGTGGTTGCTCTGGCTAAAGCGTTTAACTTTCTTCCGAATCAGTGTTTGCCATTCAGTACATTATAGTGATTAGGCTGCTGGAATAGGTAATGTGCCCTTCAATGCATACACACACTGCGCACATACATGGACGTGTATATGACTAAGTAGTTTCTATTATCATACCTATTGGACCTGGAAGGCCTGGTGGACCAGTTTCTCCAATGAAGCCTCTATCTCCTTTTTCACCTGGGGGTCCAGGTGGCCCTTTAAAAAATAAATTACAATTACTGATCATAGTTTTAAAACACAGGAAAATGAACTTATTTGTTAAGACAATTGTATAAGTAAATCCAGAGTCTGTTATTTGTTACACAATAATGAAGAATAAATAAGAATGAAGCATACCCATATTGAGTAATGCAATGCCCTATACTGGTAAAAATGAGCCAGCCCTAAATTAGACAACCTAATTATGTATAAATATTTATGTGTGCCTAGCACTCTTCCAGGTTCTCAGAAGCTGAAGGCAGAGAAGAGACAATGAGTCAATGATGGCACAAACCCACAGTAGTATTATGCCCATGCTTGGCATAATTCACTGTATTGAGTTCCATACTGTGTGGGAAATGTATAAGTAAGGACTTATAAATCATGACAGATACCCTCAAGGGAAACAAAACCACACATACTAGACAACCTAAACAATGTTGAAAGTGACAAACTCAGATATTTGGTAGGTTCAGATCAGCATGGGTAGCAATATTTGAAAAGGCTTTATTGAAGGAGTGGGATTTGCAGGATATTTTGAACACTGAATAGAATGACACGAAAGAGAATTCTGGGTAAGTGGGAGAGATGTGGGGAATGGCAGGCAGGTGAAAATGAATAAAGGAATAGTTTTTCAAGTAAAATATTAAGTATGATCCATATATACATAAGATATATATATAATTGGAGGGGCTGCAGGGAATATTAATGACTAGTTGGCCTCACAATTTCCAAGGTGTCCCTGAGTACTAAGTTGGAGCAACTCTTATACAGTCATTTGAATTTTTTGTGCCCAGTAAAACAGATATAAGATATGTGGTGATCACTTCTTTAAAATGATGGTACTGAGCATGTCTTTAGAACCTAAAGGTATCCTAACTAGTATTATCTCTTCTATACAGAGTGCACAGGGCAAAAATACCATTCCCAACCTTTAAAGCAAAACACTTAGCAATTTTTTCAGCTCCAAGAGGAAGAAACAAACCGGATGCATCATCCTATATAATAAAAGGGTAATATGCAAATTGACCCTAAAGGCAGACCAACCAGGAATGACCGGTCACTATGACATGCATTGACTACCAGGGGGCAGATGCTCAATGCAGGCATATAATTATTTTAAAGCCTCAGATGATAAAATAGCACTAACAATATCTGCTGAAATTTGTAGTTATGCTTCATGTCCTAATCATTATGATAATAAATTATTTATTTTGTTCTCAATCTTGCCTCATATTGAGATCAAATGTTAAGTAGGTTCTAACTACTTACACCTGCCCCCTTTTTTGTATTCTTCCAGTGTTCATGCTCACCGACTTAGATATATTTAATCTGGAAAAGCCTTAAAGATTGTTTAGTCAAACATACTTGTAGAGGGTCAGAGAGAGTGAGTTATTCAAGGTCTTAAAGCTAATTGGGTAAAACCAGAACTAGAACCCTTCTTTCCTGACATCCTAGGCCAGTGGTTGGCAAACTGCGGCTCGCGAGCCACATACGGCTCTTTGGCCCCTTGAGTGTGGCTCTTCCACAAAATACTGACTTCTGCACTTGGGCCACGAAGTTTCAATCACACTGTATGTGCGCGCCCGCACGTGGTATTTTGTGGAAGAGCCACACTCAAGGGGCCAAAGAGCCATATGTGGCTCGCGAGCCGCAGTTTGCCGACCACTGTCCTAGGCTACAGTATTCCAAATTTAATTGACTTCATTTTTGACATCTGTTCTTCCATTATTCCTGAGATTAATTTTTCCTCTATAGTAGCTAAAGACACATCAATCTATTTTTAAATTCCAATAATTAATTGCACACAAATATTGAAATTTAAATACCACCAATTGCTTATTCTTCTTCCCTACCATGAAATATATATATATTTGGTGCTTTTAGATGCTGGAAAAATACATTAACATTTTCCCAAGTGAGCATTATGTTATCTTTTTTCACTACTGAGACATATTTTATTTCTCTTAGCTTCCTGCCTCAGTGTTCACCTACTTTAAGTCATGTTGTCCCCCACTCTCTACCAAACTGTTTACCATTTTAATCATTTAGTCCTTTAAACTCTAATTACTATAATTGGCTGAGAAATGTATTAAAATATTTTCATTTCTTTTATTTTTATAGTTATTTAGCAATTGTTAATATAAAGAAAAGGACAGAAAGTAATGATATGATCCTACAACCCACAAATGATAAAGAACTCATTAATTTATAAAATATACACTGAGTGGCCAGATTATTATGACCACCTGATGTTTGTAGGCAAATTAGCTATAATTTCGCGCTGAAGTTGCTAGAGGGACAGACCATTATAAATAGGGAAGCAGGTTGTTTACCACGACAGTAGAAGTGATTTTTTTTCTGAAGATATGGGTAAACAATGCGATTTAACAGCCTTTGAACGTGGGATATATATAATCTGAGTGGCCAGATTATTATGACCACCCCATCAGTACTTTGTTGGGCCACCTTTTGCCTTCAATACTGCAGCGATTCTTCTTGGCATTGACTACACGAGATGTTGAAAGGTGATGCGAGGAATCTGACACCATGCCTGATGAATAGCACTGTCCAGTTCTGTGAGATTTGATGGTGTGGAACCAGCTGCCTGATGGCTCTTTTAACTTTGTCCCACAAATGCTCAATTGGATTGAGATCTGGTGATTGTAGGGGCCACCTAAGCAAGGAAAAGTCTCCCTCATGTTCTTGAAACCACTCCTGCACTATACGAGCACCGTGGCATGGTGAATTGTCTTGTTGGAAGAAGCCATCTCCATTGGGATATGCCATCAACATGATAGGATGAACTTGATCAGCAATGATACTTAGGTATGTTGTGTTATTCAGACGTTGTTCCACACGAATTAAAGGGCCCAAATCATGCCAGGAAAACATGCTCCAAACCATAACACTGCCCCCACCAGCTTGAAGGGTTGTACTCATGCATGTGGGATGCATGCTTTCATGCTGTTTCCGCCAAATTCTCACTCTGCAATCTACATGATGCAACTGGAAACGTGACTCATCGCACCACATGACTTTTTTCCAATGCTCGACTGTCCAATCCTTGTGTTCCTGTGTGAATTGGAGACGTTTTATCTTGGTAACTGCAGACATCAAAGGCGTTTGAACAGGCCTTCAGCTTCCATATCCCATACAATGCAGTGTATGGCTAATTTGCCTACAAATGTCAGGTGGTCATAATAATCTGGCCACTTACATTCAAATATATTCCATGTTCAAAGACTGTTAAATCGCGTTGTTTACCCATATCTTCAGAAAAAAATCACTTCTACTGTCGTGGTAAACAACCTGTTTCCCTATTTATAATAGTCTGGCCCTCTAGCAACGTCAGTGTGAAATTATAGCTAATTTGCCTACAAACGTCAGGTGGTCATAATAACCTGGCCACTCGGTGTATATTTCTGGGTTGTAGTTTAATAAATATCTATTTATAAATGTATTTTATGGCTAGATGCTACAAAGAATATAGAAATAGTCCTTTATTATAGGAACTTATTGTTTCCAAGAAGATCTAACATTTCACTTCAAGGTAATATGAGATACTTTTATATATGACAATCATATTAAGAATACTCCTGTGAAAATATTAAGCAAAATATAAATATCAGCAGCAGTATTACTATGGTGGAACCAGAGAAGGCTTCATGTAAGAGCTCACGTATTAGATGGACACTGAATGGTAGATATTTTCAGATACTAATAGAAGAGGAAAGATATTATTTCAAGTGAAGGAAAAGACCCGAGGCAGGATGTATGAAAGTATTGGGTATTTTATAATCACAGTAAAATCAATTGAAATATTTTGGATCAAAACGAGAAAAGGAGAGCATGAGACATTAAAAAATAGTTAAGAAACACATTACACAATACTTTAAATGCTAAAAAGAGACATATACTGTATGTCTAATGAGGAGGCAGTGAGTGGCTTTTTGTAATCTAGGTTCCCTTCAGGAACACTGCATTCTAACAAGAATGTAGAAAGGATTATAGTGTGAAGGATTGAGGCAAGAAATGATTGGGAGACTATTTCAATAGTCTGGCAGAGCAGTGATAAAAACAGTTTACACAAGAATATAAAGGGTAGAACATAAGAACCAACTGCCTTGGGAGAAAGAATAAAAAATAATTAAATGTTCTATCTTGGAAACTTGGAAGAATGCCATTGCCATTACAAAGTGTAACTTGACGAGATAGTACTAAAAATGAAAACAAATAAAAGTTCTAGTTTCACGTAGTCATTCAATACACATACAGTTGCTCACCCACTATATATCAGGTGCTCTAACAGGTGCTAGAAAAGACAGAGTGTAAGAGAGACAAGACCCAACTTCCCGGAGCTCACATTCTATTGAAAGATATATAATAAACAAATAGCAAATGAAAGTGGAAAACAATTTCACATAGCCATAGGTACTATGAGGAACTTAAAGAAAATAAAGATAGAGAGATGGAGAGAAGAATGAGAATGAGAATGAGGAAGGGAGAACTCATCTCTAAAAAGGTGATTTTGAGTGGAGCCAAGAAGGAGTGGAGAGGTAAGAGAAGGACATTTCAAGACAGAGTGAGTCTAGTGCTGATTGCAGATAGCAACAAGTGAAATTAGCACTTCCTCCTTATTAACTTACACTTTTTTTTTAAAATTCTCACATGAGAATATGTTTTTATTGGTGAGAGAGAGAGAGAGAGAAACATTGATTGATTTCCTCCCACACACACTCTGACTGGGGACCGAATCTGCCACCTAAGTATGTGCCCAGATGAGGAATCCTTTTGGTGTATGGGAGAACCCTCCAACCAACTGAGCCACAGGGTCTGGGCTTAACTCACAGCTTTTAATGGCATTTTCATTCTTCTAGATTTATAAGCTAGACAGAGGGAAAATTAGAAAATAAGGGCAGATAAGGAGATGGGTGCCAGACCAAGTAGAAGTTTAGATTTTCTTACGTGTCCAATAGGGAGATATTGGGCCATCTTAGCTTGAGAGAGGAAAGGTCTAATGATATTTTTAAACTAGAGGCCTGATGCATGAAATTCGTGTAAGAGTAAGCCTTCCTTCCCTTGGTTGCTGGCACCGGCTTCCCTCTGGCACCTGCAACCGGGGCTTCCCTCGCAGCCCCGGCTTCGTCCAGAGGACATCTGGTCTAATTAGCATATTATGCTTTTACTAGAGGCCTGATGCATGAAATTCGTGCAAGGGGCTCAGCCCTGGTAACTGCGGCGGCTGCCTCAGCCCTCACAGCCCCTGGCTTCGTCCGGAAGGTTGTCTGGAAGGACGTTTGGCTATCTGGCCTAATTAGCATATTATGCTTTTATTATTATAGATTATTATAGATATGTTTTTATTGATTTTAGAGAGAAAGGAAGGGAGAGGGATAGAGAGATAGAAACTTCAATGAGAAAAATACTGATCAGCTGCCCCCTGCAATGCCCCCTACTGGGGATCAATCCAGCAACCTGGAATGTGCCCTGACCTGGAATCGAACCATAACTTCCTGGTACATGGGCCAACTATCAACCACTGAGACACCCCAGCCAGGCTAATGATATTTTTTGATAGCACTCTTTTGCTCTAAATTATGTAGAATGAATTAAGAGTACAGTTTGGCTAAACCAGGGGTCCTCAAACTTTTTAAACAGGGGGCCAGTTCACTGTCCCTCAGACCGTTGGAGGGCCAGACTATAGTTTAAAAAAAAAACTATGGCCCTGACCGGTTTGGCTCAGTGGATAGAGCGTTGGCCTGCGGACTAAAGGGTCCCAGGTTCGATTCCAGTCAAGGGCATGTACCTTGGTTGCGGGCACATCCCCAGTAGGGGGTGTGCAAGAGGCAGCTGATCGGTGTTTCTCTCTCATCAATTATTCTAACTCTCTATCCCTCTCCCTTCCTCTCTGTAAAAAATCAATAAAATATATTTAAAAACAAACAAACAAACAAAAAACTATGAAGAAATTCCTATGCACACTGCACATATCTTATTTTGAAGTAAAAAAACAAAACGGGAACAAATACAATATTTGTATTTGCATGTGGCCCACGGGCCGTAGTTTGAGGACCCCTGGGCTAAACAATTGGGAAGCTGATGGAGTACATTGAACTGGAGTATAGTTGCTTGAATTAGAATAGTAGCAGATGAGATAGTGAAAATGAATTTTATTTGAAATATTGTGAGTTAACAGGACTCATAGATGGATTGGATGTAGGGAGTGAGAGGAAAATGTCAAAGATAGTCTCCAAGATGTTTGAGTGAGTAACAAATTGAACAATGATACAACCAACAGATAAGACCGGGAAAGCAACAGATTTGGGGGTGGATAGAGTGAGATGCTCAAGAATCAACGATTTAGATTTGGATTTGTAAAGTTTAGGATCTTTATTTGAAATCTAAAGTGTAGTTAGAGCGAAAGCTGATTAATGAAAATTTTATCATCTATTTTAATGTAATAATTAAAGAATATATACGTATTCTCTATAAGTAAGCTATACTGCACAGTAATAAAGAGAACATCCCTGCAATCCAAGAAATAGGTATCTAATCTACATTCTACCAGACTCATTCATCTACTTCCTTTTCAAAGATAGTTAAAAAGATAACATGAAGTTTGTGTGTCTCATTTCCCTGCATTTAAAAAATAAGCTTTCTTATTGCATATGTATATATCTATAAATATACATTATTTACGTTTTCTGAATTGTAAGCATTGGAAACAAAAATGTACTCTATATAGTCTTCTGGGACTTGTTCTTTATGAGAGATGAACCTAAACAAAAGAATACCAAAGGTTGAAAGTAAATATGAAAAATACTAAAAATGTAAATAATTAGAAGCTAGTGTAAAAATACTAATTTGCAAATTCACCTTGCTTTATAAACAAATGAAAAAGAAATGGACAAATTCATTTATTTTTGGAGAGTTCAAAAATTTTTCTAATTAATAATACAATAGTGTAAAACATAAGAAAGAATCTGGAAGTTTTGAAAAAGAGAATTAACAAGCTTGATTTATAGACAGATAGAGAACTTTGTGCCTTACAGAAAACTTGGAACAATGACTCATTAGAACTTAAGATTTCTTTTTTTTTTTTATCCCTTTCTATTTAAAGGATACCAGGAGACTGTTAGCTTACCATGTCCTAATATGATCTGAAGATTTCTTTCTATAGATATTTGTAGTAAATGTATGCTCAAAAACTATTTTAAGTCATAGGATTTTGAAGATCAAATCTCATGTGTATCATTACATTTTAATATATCATTTTCTGAAAGAAAAGAAGGTATTTTACCTTGAATTAAAGTGATATTTTTCAGTGTCTGAGAATGTTCCCAATCTTTCAGTCTGAGATCATTAGTGATGTTGTTCAATAGTTTCACTTCTCCTTTTATTTCCTGTTCCAAATGTGCTTGTTTTTCTTTCATAGACATAATTTCTGCTGATGCATTGTGCACACGCTCCTCTAATTTACTCATCTCCTGCGAAGCATAACCAAGCATCCACAATTTTTGTTACACCATTATTTAAAAAATATGTAAGCTTAAGAAACCCTGGAAGCCAGGTTTTAAAAAATACATATAATATTACAAGAATATTATAGAATAAGAATACAAAAATTAGAGAACTATTTTAAAAGATTAATTATTTGGTTTTGAAGCATTTCCTCTTTTGACTGAACAGCTGAATATTCACACCCTCTGCCCTGCTCCCCCCTTAGTTGAATATATCTAAGGTATTCTTCTATTTCCAAATATATAGATGTCAAAACGCTAATAAAATAATTTTAAAACACTTGTGATATGATTTTTAATTATCTGAAGTAAAACTTTTTTATACTGTACTTATAGTAAAATTTAGTATTCCAATTCTGTGAATGTGACAGATTGAATATATAATTGTTTTATATCAATAACAAAGTTTAATGCCATATTTTCCGGTGGAAATGAACATTCAGGATCACTTTTCATATTCAATACAATCTCAACTAGCATATTAACAATATCTTATTTTTAATTTTTATTGCTTCTGTATTTGAGATTTCATTATTATTTTGTTTTTAATGGCATTTATATGCCTGCATGCATATATGCATATATGGAGAGATTGTGAACAAGAGAGATAGTACTTGTTTGATCTGGGACATGCTTTAATTTTTGACTCAATAATATATTTAAATTTTTACTCAATAATATATCTACCTATTATAATACTTAGAGGCTGCCTTATATTTAATAATTTAATGGAAATATACTGCATGTATTTTTCATAGTTTATTTGATTCCTATTAGAGTTTTGAGCTGCGCATATTTTACAATTTTAAATAATGCTATAATGAACATCTTTTAAAATTTTTTATTGATTTCAGAGAGGGAGAAGGATAGAGAGAATCATTGATCAGCTGCCCCCTGCATAACCTCTATTGGGGATCAAGCCTGCAACCCGGACATGTGCCCTGACTGGGATTGGAATCATTGACTTCCTAGTTCATAGGCCAACAGGTCAACATTCAACCAGTGCACCACACTGGCTGGGCTGAACATCATTTTATATATATGTGTGTGTTTCTATAGGACAGCGTCCTGAAAGAGAATCTGATCAAAGGGTGTAAATATTAAATTTTTTTTCAATATTTTCACACTGTTCTCCAAATACTTGATATCATTTTAAAATCTTACTAATTGTACATTAGTGCCTACTTTTTGCACCTAAATTCTTGGCACTATCAATATATTTAACTTGGCAGCGTAAAAGTAGACACAATAAATTCTTGATACTTAATTTGCTTTTCAAACTATATAAGGTTAAGTGCCAAATCATAATTTTTTATATTTTCTTTATTACTTTTCCTTTCAAGTCTTTTCTTGTTTTTTTCCATTGTGCATTGGCCTTTTCTCTTTCTGATGTACCAAACCTCCTTATCTATTTTGATAACGTTTTGTTTCTCTGCTCTACTTTTATCAGAGTTGAGTAGTTTCGACATAGACCATGTAGTCTCAAAGGTAAATATTTACCTGACCCTTTAAAAAGAAACTTTTGCTTACAACTGGTCTAGAATATATCTTGCTCTTCTGTCTTTTATATTTGATGCTATTATGATAATACATGTAATACATTATTCAAATTTTCATTTTTAAGTTATAGTTAGTTTACACATAAAAGTTATGTATAATTCCTGGGAGTGACAAACTATTTTAAACTAGATTTTTAAGGTTATCCATGTAAGGGATGAGGATAAAAAAAATTGGGGGGTCTATTGTAAAATTTACAGAGTGCCCACCTCCCCAGATCTGCTAAGGTCATCTAAAACTCGGAATTGATTTCGGCAGCCGCAAGAGATACTATACCAGGTTTTATTATACTAAAATACCTTGAGAGGCTATATCCAATGGAAAAGTATTTTCCTTTTTGCTGGGAATCTGGAAAAGGAACTAGTTAAATCTATCTGAGACCTGGTAAGATTCTGAAAGGAATCTGGGTAGGTAGGATGATGTTCAATCAGGGTTTGCAATGTTTGCTCTCCTGCTCCTCCGAGGAGCTAGGAGCTAAATGAATTCAGTGTCAGCATGCGGCCTTCTAATAAGAAAGTTCTTACCTCTTGTTGCTTAATTGTATTCTCTTGGACTTTGCCATTCAGTGTTTCAATACTGAGCTGCAAAGCAAGTAATGTGGTGTTCAGACTTATTAATGACTTGGAGATTTCGTCTATTTCATTTCCATGTTCCTGGACTGAGGAAGCCACGGTTCTCAGTTGGAGAAGAACATCATCAAATCTTTGATCAGTCATTACACTGACATTTTGGAAATGCTCTGAATCTATGAGATTGGCTTGTGTATCTGAAATATACTGGATTCTTTTCTCCATGCTGCTCAGGTTTCCTGTGACAACTTCTCGAAATTTTATATCCTCTTCACGGTCATGTCCTTTTCCCATGAGACTCTGAGATGAGTCATTGGCATTAATTGAACCAACTGTGCAATTCTTCCTTTCCCATTTTAGGAGTTGAGCTGCATATTTAAGCAAAAATAAGCAGAGTCATGGCCTGCCTCCTTAGATGCATATATCATCCCAGTCTAACATTCTGAATGCTCTCCCAAATCAGGTATTTATTTTAAGTAGACAATGTATGATCCACAGTAGCATGTTGCTGAGAGGGTGACAATCTCCTATTCCCACTTTACTTTAGAATTTATTCCAGGATTAAGCCATTCTTTCTGAATTGCTGCGTATAAGAATCTCCTGGACCGTTGCATTTGGCTTTTGCAGTAAGAGAGATTCCACAGATTATAAAGTGCACTGTACCCTACTCCTTGGGTCTGTTGTTAAGATAAAATGAGATAACAGAGTATCTGAAGTTAGTATGTTGAATATATTAGTTCTCATCAAGATAAATGATGATGATAATAATAAAATACCTAGTAAAGTAGAAGTATTAGTGTTATCCACTGTATGAATAAATTGTTGGTTCATCTTCCTCATCCTATCATTAAGCTGGCAAAGAATTGTCATTTTCAGTTTATACAGGCCTAATTTATAGTTGGTGGAACAAAAAATTGGACAAATAATATTCTTACTTTAAAAGGTATTACTTTTATAAGATTGGTCTTTGTCTACTATGAAATATATATTCATAGCGAAAATTTAGAGAAGGTAAATAATAGGGAAAAACTATTTACCATTAATCTCTTCCAAGTTAAATGCTAACATTTTGGTGAACATATATCAAATCTGACTCTGTTTTCACTATCATATTATTATTACAAAAGCAAGACTATATTTTGGGGACATACAGAGCTGCTGATTTGTACTTCCAAATAGACATATATTCTCTAAACAAGCTAATTATCCTTCTGAAATGATCTAGAACAATATAATATGTTTACAGTTTCAAAAAATGAAAAGCAAAATCATTGACTTTGCAGATAAAAATAATACATATTTATATAAAATAAAGAAAACATTAAATACTATTTTACCACTAATCAGTGATGGTTAAGATTTTCTTATTTTTCCATATCTCTATATATTTTTCTTTATCATTTATACCTTTTATCTACATATACTAGTATATGTCTCTTAGTTTTATTATATAAGTTTTTCCATATCTGACCATTATTAAGCAATAAAAATAATTAACTTCCCATAGTTTAAAAATATATCTACATAATCAGCTATACCTGACCTGTCAGTTTTCTGAGTAAAGATGATATAGAAATAGTACCATCTTTATAGGTTTTTGAGAATTAAATGAAATACACATGAAAAAACATTTAGTTTCCACCCATAGCTCAGGGTACCTGTTATATAAATAAGACGTTGGTGTTTACACAGCGTCAAGCTGCCTGATTCTGGAAACTGGCTCTACTCCTCATTATTAGCTGGGTTACTCTGGGCAAGTTAGTTATCTTCTCCTTGCTTAAGTCCTCACAAAGATCTAGAAATAGTAACTATCTCAACAGTGGTACTAAGGATAAACGAGATAAGGCATATAAATCTCATAGCACACATATGGCACACATGAAAACTCTATTCAAATTTAAGTGCCTTATCCATGAAAAATGTTATGTTAGTTACAGAGAAAACAGATTTTACCACCTTTACTAGTACTTAAAGAAGCTGTTGATAATGGTTGCTATTGTAGACATTATTATAATAGGTATTAAATTATATATGTACTTAAATCCCAATTTTTAAAAACACACAGTATAACCTATTTTCCTAGTTACATTCTCTTTACATTTAGCTTAACTGAATTAAGCTAAATGTGACTACATTTTTATATGATCCACAACAGAGGCCATTTTAAGTGTGCATAATTTTATACTTCTTAATTTATCAACAAGTTGTACAAGAAAAGTATATTTCTTACTAAGATTGTATCCCATTTATTAAATTAAGTGTGGGAAACACTTTTTGGATTGACAGCCTCATTTATGAATTCATCAATTCTATGATTTATTTATTAAGCACCTACTAAGTATAAAACACTGGGAATAAGATAGACTGAAATTCAAAGTGTCCCTTATTTCCTTTTATGGTGATTATTATTATTATTATTATTATTATTTTTTAGTTAGCAGGTAAGAATTCAGGTTCTGGATTAGAACTGCTTGGGTTAACAATTCTTGCTCTTTCCTTTACAAATTGTGACCTTGGGCAAATTAAGGTGTCAATGCTTCTATTTCACTTCTATATAAATGGGATACTAATAGTCAGTGTTCAAATAATTAAATGAGCTATTTTATGTGAAGTCCTTAGAATATATCCTGGCACATAATAAGCATTTGGCAAGTTTCAGATTTTTTGTTATTGTTAATATTTTGGATTCACTATCTGTGATTTGTGCCTCTATATGCATATCATTGATTATTAGGAGCAATTAATATTGTGTAATATAAAAAATTGGAGGAAGTTCCATATTGCAATAAGTACAGTAATCTCTGTGCTTTATTTTACTAGGCATATGGATATAATTATTCAACCATATAATTTTAGTTATACTGGAAACAATTTCTATATTATATGGGTAAAGAAACTCTTGTTCACAATATAAAAGAGACACCTGATATAACAAAATGTCATATGACCAAGGGTTTTTAATTGACATCAAGTTAAACATGGATTGACAATAAAGGTTACATTTTACTAATAGATTTAAAAACAAAACAGTTCTTGTTTCCCCAAATTCTGAATGAGAACTAATTTGATCCCTACTTTTTTTAAGAATGTTTATCTCTGTATCATGAATCCAAGAGTTCCTATTTTCAGATCTTCATTTCTCTCACTGTCATTGGAGAGATGGCATTTTTTGACTTTTCTATTTACATTTAAAGGAGACACGCTTGTAGGGCTTGTGTAAAGACCTAGGGAGAGAGTTATATTTGATTCCGTGGATCACATTTACTCTTTCATGTTGGTAATACCTTTTCCTACCAAAAATCTATATTATTCTGAGCTAAAGGATATGCAGTATTTCAGTGACAATTTATATATATTAATATTGAATTATATTTGACTAGAGGCCCAGTGCATGAAATTCATGCATGGGTGTGTGTGTGTGTGTGTGTGTGTGTGTGTCCCTCACCCCAGCATGCACCCTCTCCGATCTGGGACCCCTCAAGGGATATCCGACTGTCCATTTAGGCCCACTGGGATTGGGCTTAAAACGGCAGTCGGACATCCCTCTCATAATCTGGGACTGCAGGCTCCCAACCACTTGCCTGCCTGCCTGATTGCCCCTAACCACTTCTGCTTGCCAGCCTGATCACCTCCTACCACTCCCCTGCCAGCCTGATCGACACCTAACTGCTCCCCTGCCGGCCCAAGTGCCCCTAATTGCCCTCCCCTGCAGGCCTGGTTGCCCCTAACTGCCCTCCCCTGCAGGCCTTGTTCCCCCCAACTGCCCTCCCCTGCAGGCCTGGTCACCCCTAACTGCCCTCTCTTGACAGTCTGGTCATCCCCAACTGCCCTCCCCTGCAGGCCTGGTCCCTCCCAACTGCCCTCCCCTGCTGGCCTGATTGCCCACAATTGCCCTCCCCTGACAGCCATCTTGTAGTGGCCATCTTGTGTCCACATGGGAGCAGCCATCTTTGACCACATGGGGGTGGCCATCTTGTGTGTTGGAGTGATGGTGAATTTGCATATTACTCTTTTATTAGATAGGATTGTCCAGAGACATTATGCTGTTCTACTAAGGCAGTGATCCAGTAGGTTCTTTAAGAAAAGAGAGCATATAGAATAGATTTTAAAATTAAGGAATATCTTTTCATGGATATGACACTTTAAATTTAAGCGGAGTTTTATGTACAACATTTTACTTCACCCATTGCCGGAGTCCATTCATTGTCTTCACTAGCTGAGTTTAGACAGAGACCCCCAAAAGCTAGTAACCTTTGAAGTCCTAGCAAAGGTCAGAACTGTGCACCACCCAGTTAATCTAGGAACCACCCAGTTAATTTAGGTAATAATAGTTGAAGCATCATCCCCACCTTAGTTGACTTAATTCCTTAGATACTTATGTAGATCCTTGTTGATTATTGTTGATCAAATACTCTGCCTATTCCTGGAAATCATCTACTGATGAGCTAATCAGATACCTTGTCTATTCCTGGAAATTGTCCGCTGATCTGTGTGTCATTGAAACTTCCTTACCCTAAGGGCTACTCCAGATCAATAAAAGATTGGAGCAGCCTGAGCATGGGTGGAAGTCCTTCGGGACTTGCCCGCCTGGTCCCCCAATATTGCAAAATTATCTCGTGTCATTTCTTTCTCATTTGTTGTGCAGTTCCTCTTTCAGATACCGAGTGTTACTCAACAACCCACCAAGTCATATTTGCCAAAACAAAGTGATTACTATTATTTTAGCAGGGGCATATTTGGCCTATAATTGCAATTTTTTGGTATCAATAAAGATATGTATTGCATTTTAGTTCTTTTTTTGGAATATATTCTGATCCACAACTTAAAGTTGTAAATGGATGATCAATTGTTCATTATTCAAGAGTGATATGGCACAAGAACAGACATATAGATCAATGGAATAGAATAGAGACCCCAGAAATCGGCCCGAACCAATATGCTCAATTAATATTTGACAAAGGAGGCAAGAACATACAATGGAGCCAAGATAGTCTCTTCAATAAATGGTGTTGGGAAAATTGGACAGATATATGCAAGAAAATGAAACTAGACCACCAACTTACACCATACACAAAAATAAACTCAAAATGGATAAAGGACTTAAATGTACGACAGGAAACCATAAAAATTCTAGAAGAATCCAAGGGCAACAAAATCTCAGACATATGCCGAAGCAATTTCTTCACTGATACAGCTCCTAGAGCAGTTGAAACTAAAGAGAAAATGAACAAATGGGACTACATCAAACTAAAAAGCTTCTGCACAACAAAAGAAACCATCAACAAAACAACAAGAAAACCCACTGCGTGGGAAAACATATTTGCAAACGTCATATCTGATAAGGGCCTAATCTCCAAAATTTATAGGGAACTCATACAACTTAACAAAAAGAAGATAAACAATCCAATCAAAAAATGGGCAAAGGATCTAAATAGACACCTTTCAAAAGAGGACATTCAGAAAGCCAAGAGACATATGAAAACATGCTCAAAGTCACTAATCATCCGAGAAATGCAAATCAAAACAACAATGAGGTACCATCTCACACCTGTCAGACTGGCTATCATCAACAAATCAACAAACAACAAGTGCTGGAGAGGATGTGGAGAAAAAGGAACACTTCTGCACTGCTGGTGGGAATGCAGACTGGTGCAGCCACTATGGAAGACAGTATGGAGTTTCCTCAAAAAACTGGAAATGGAACTCCCATTTGACCCTGTGATCCCACTTCTAGGAATTTATCCCAAGAAACCAGAAACACCAATCAGAAAGGATATATGCACCTATATGTTCATAGCAGCACAATTCACCATAGCTAAGATCTGGAAACAGCCTAAATGCCCATCAGTAGATGAATGGATTAGAAAACTGTGGTATATCTACATGATGGAATACTATGCTGCTGTAAGAAAGAAGGAACTCTTACCATTTGCAACGGCATGGATGGAGCTGGAGAGCCTTATGCTAAGTGAAATAAGCCAGTCAATGAAGGAAAAATACCACATGATCTCACTCATTCATGGATAATAGAGACCATTATAAACTTTTGAACAATAGTAGATACAGAGGCAGAGCTGCCTCACACAGATTGTCAAACTGCAGCGGGAAGGTCGGGGAGGGTTGGGGGGCAGGAGGGAGGGGGTTAAGAGTTCAACTGAAGGGCTTGTATGCATGCATATGAGCATAACCAATGGTCATAAGACACTGGGGGGTAGGGGAAGCCGGGGTATTGTCAAGGGCGGGGGGGAAAAAAAGGACATATATGTAATACCCTTTGTAATGCTTTAAGCAATAAAAAATAAATAAATAAAAAATTAAAAAAAAAAAGAGTGATAAACATGGCAAGATCTCCCTATTCTGATGAATTTGGGTGCTAACATGAACTTATTTGATTTGAACATTTTAAACTTCTTGTCAATCTTAATAGGTACAATTATAGTTTTAATAAACAAAACCACTTCAGATAAATCATTGTCAACCCTAAATTAAATGTGTTGACTTGATAGTATTTTCGAATAGCTCAGAGATCCTGAACTTGCTGAGAACCCTGAGCTCTTTTCAGACTTCGGTCCATGCTCTGCACTGGCTTATTAGAAAGTAGTTGCACTCTTGGGTTGGCGCTACAGACCATGTTTTGTATAAAGGCAATTGAATTAACCCAATCATAACTGGCTTATTGTTAATAATCCCAAACAATAAAATATCTTTCAGTTGTGTCTTTGAAACTACAGATAAGCACTTACATAAACAGCATACAGATAACCTGAGTTCATCAGGAAGTTAGTTTCATGAGAGATAATCAGGTTCTTAGATGGCTGTGGTTGGTTTGAGTGACTGATTGGTTTCATTTGTTATTAGTTTTTGTTTTTCATTTTGTTTCTAATGGCCAAAATAGGAGTTAATCTTTATCTGGAAAAAATATTTTCCTGGCTGAAATTACAGCAACTCTTTTTTGTTTTTTTATTGGTCAATCATATTTTGTGCTAAAAACCCAATTACCCTGGAAGACAGTAGACCACAGAGGTTAGGAGTCAAGTATTGTGGGTGGCACTACAGCTCCACTACTGAACAGTCTCAAACTCCTTTTGTGAGTAATGAGGGTGAGTTTATGTCTACTCAGGAGTAACTGGAAAGGTGTATTTAGACAATCTGTGGAAAATTTATAGCCCAGTTCCTGAACATAGTGAGTGCCTAAAATCGAAAGCTACAGTTACAATTGTTGTTTTATTATCATTTCTTTCTTAGCATAATTTTGGCTCTGTCTTGGAATATTCCTTTAGATTGCTTCTTAGCAGAGAAGGTTTGGCCTTGTATTTAGGAACATTTTCTCTTTAAGCTGATTAGTCTGTGCACAAAAAATGTATCTTACTCCCAGCCTATCTCTTAGTAGATCATATGCCCAGACATGTTGTCAGTCATAGAGAAAGGAGAGCTACAAGATATATAAATGCAAATGCCAATCAAATACATAAAAAATGCTGCTGAGGGGAATAATACTTACAAATTTCACTGAGTTATATGCAAGCCACCCCTGTAGAAACCCTCAGATCTATCCCCAATTCAAGTCAGACTCTCCAAAGAAATATGTACCTGGAAAACATTATGTTGAGCCCAAGTAAACTGTTCTAATTTTTAGAGATGTTTTAAATAATGGCCTTATGAAATATGTGAGCATATAAACTGTAAAGATATTACTGAAGTGTAAGCCATTATTTTTTTTAAGACTTACAGGAGTATTTCTTTCTGCTCTCAATACTAGGAGTAGATCTTTATCTGAACAACTGGCTTGCTTTTATATTTTAGGCATTGTTAATGTAAATGATCATGTTCATATTTTCACATTGGCAACTAGAATACTTACCTTGAAATTTGTGACCACCACTAGACATCTATAGGACTTCAGAGGATAATATATTTTTGAAATAATCCTTTCCACAGCTATATTTTATCTTAATATTTCATTTTCTATTCTATTTCATTGTTTCCATTCTTTCACTGAGTAACTCTGAAGAATCTGTTTTTTCATTTAATAAATTTGAGGAACACTTTGTGATATAAAGTTTACCTTATGAATCTCCCATATAGAAAACACTGAGTGCTTCTTTTTTGCTTCTACAGTAACTAATTCACATGCTGAGCTGCTGGGTTTCAGAACTCTAGAATACTGTACCTGTCACTATTCCAAGGATGGGTATGAGAACTATAAACACAACCAGATAAAGGGCAATCAGGGCAGCTTTGACGGACTTCAGTTTCTTTGGAAAGGCAGGGCCATTTTTAAAACCTAAAAAACAAAAGCCCAAACTACAGTTAGAAAACGTAATCCTCTTACTTAATCACAATTGTTATGATCTGCAGTTATATTGTAAGTACCAAGCCTACTGAAATAAAAAAGGGGGGGAGGGGATAGGTCCTTGTTTATCCAGTAGGAAGAAGGGGCAATCACAGACTAAGCCAATATAGGCACCACTGTGGACATTTGTTTTACTTACCCATGAACTAAGCGTGCACGAAAAAGTGAGTATCTTCTACAGTTTGTACTTGTCTCATTTGGGGGCATTAGTTGATACATTTTAATATTCATACCAACATATGCAAACAATGTTATTCTTCTGTTTCATATGGGAATATATTCTGGGTGAAAATAAAAACCCTCAAGTAACTATGTAATTGTGATCTTTTTCTTATATTAAGTCAGATAAGAGAAACATTTATTTTCTATGATGATTATACAATTTTATTTTAATAATCCAATCTCTATAACTTTGTATTTGGATACCTCTTACGATGTGAATAAAATGTAAAATAAGAAATTAAAAAAAATTCATTTTGACTAAATTTTGGAATGAATCAATGAAGTCCATCCTCTGTATATATTAGAACATATTAACATTTCAGTATTATTAATTTATAATAAACAGTGATTCACATAATGGATACTAATTGTGGAAAAGATAAATTGATGTAGAAGTAATCTCAATAAAAGAGGAAGAAATTTCTCAGATTAAGTTAATAAAACCATTTATTAAAATATTTTTCCTATGGCCATTGCTCTTGTTGCTCATTTTTTTAAAAAAAGTAAATTTTGTTTTCAGGTTGTAAACTCCAAAATTAAAAACAAAAGTTCAGACATCTACAGACAGTCCTCGGGTTACGTCGGATTTCGTGGTTACATCGCCATCTCCATTTATAAAAAAAAAAAAGTTCCGTTATTTCGATGTATGTAAATATGTGCTTTATGTTTTTTATTATTTATTTACCACAAGTAAACATCAGGAATTGTTATCATTCTTTTAATTTTTTTTTTACTGTTTCACTTCATTACTGCTGTGTATGTGCTCCATGTGAGTGACGTACATGGTTATTAGGTGGGTTCCGACTTATGGCAAAAATCGCGTTATGTTGCACCCTAGGTAGGAACAGATCTCCGACGTAACCCGAGGACCTACTATATACTAATAAAAGGGTAATACGCTAATTAGACCAGACGTCTTCCAGACGTCCTTCCTGACAAAGCTGGCCCAGGTACCTGCAGTTGCAGCCGGCCCAGGCAAAGCCACCCCTGGTCCCGGGTGAAGCCGCCTCCGGTTCCGGGCACCAGCTTAGCAAAATCTTGCAGGAGGAGAATTCTGTCTGGGTTTCCCCGAATTCCCTCAGCCCCTACTCACCCCTCTGTAAAGGCACAGAACAAGTGAGGCCCCTTAAATAAAAATTAGAGGTCTCCAGCAACTGATCCCGTGGGCCTCTCTCATCACAGTCAGACTGGATGGCATTTGAGTATTTATCTAGGCACCATGACAGAGAAACACAAGCTCAAGTCATGATCTCTGCCCTTAAATAATTCACAATCTTATTAGAGTGAGTGGATGATAAAAGCGCAGTAATGAATCAGAATACAGAGAGGAACAGAGGCAATTGCTAGGGTGATTTTCCAACAATTAGTACAAAGAATATGTGCTATGAATTAAATTAAAAAATGTGTGGAAGTAGCTGCTTCATGAGTATGGCATCCCCTCCTATTTTAAAGGAAGCTGAGTTCCATGTGAAGTGTGTACTATGCTATGATATTTGAGACACAGAACAAGGGAGGCCCTAAGTGGACTATGCTTTGATATTTGAGACATTCTTTATTGTTCAATGTGATTTATTTCTGTACGCCTAAGTTTTGTAATAGTGAAATTACTAGAATAATACATCTTGCTATAAAATATTACTAGAAGATCAAGTGATCAGGTGACATTTATTATTTTCTATAAATGAACACAATCTCTGGTATGCTAAAGTGATAGGTATTATAGAAATATTCAGATAGGGAGACCTACAGGCTTGATTGCAAGTGAGGTTTACTATCACAACCCAAATTTATTGCTTAAAAAAAAAAGCAGGGAGCCAACTAGAAACTGAACCAAATATAAGCCCTTGAAGGGCAAATGTAAACTGCATAAACTTCGCTATTACAAGAGCAATAAGAAAGAATTCAGAGCCAAGAATGAGAAGCAGATTGCATCCACTCTCAGTTGCTGCTAAAGAAAAAGAATGGTATACTATGAAAATACTTAATACAGATTGTAAAGAGATTTGTTCAAAGAGGATTTCCTAAAGTAGGTGGCATTTCAGTTAATTTTTTTAAATGTGAAGAGGTTAGCTAGATAAGAAAAAGGTATAGGAACAGTGGATTGGAGGAGGGTGCAGGCCAGGCTGAGGGACCCCCTCCCTCCCCGTGCATGAATTTTGTGCATCGGGCCTCTAGTTGCTCAATAATGTTCTATGAGGAAATGAAAGTAAAAGGAGAAAAAAATTTAAGAGGTAAAGATAAGCCCTAGCTGGTTTGGCTCAGTAGATAGAACATCAGCTTGTGGAACAAAGGGTCCCAGGTTTGATTCCAGTCAAGGGCACGTACATTGGTTGCAGCTCCTCCAGGCCCAGGCCCTGGTTGGGGCTTGTGCAGGAGGCAACCAATCCATGTGTTTCTCTCACATCAATATTTCTCTCTGTCTTTCCCCCTCTCTTCTACTCTCTCTAAAAAACAATCAATGGAAAAATTTCCTCAAGTGAGGATTAACAAAACAAAACAAAACAAAACAAATATAAGAAAAATAAAATAAAGGGAAACAATAAGGAAAGATCTAAGGAAAAAGAAAAAGAACCACCACAATATAAGCAAGATGGGGTATTCTATCTGCCAGATTGACTAAGCCTGAAACACAGGAGTCATCTTCTCCTTTACCTCCAATTTACAATCACAAATTATCTGTAGGCTGCAATTTAAAAACACTCAAATGTGTTATTGTGTGTGTGTGTGTTTTGTGGGTGTTTTTTTTTGTGCTTTTTTTCTGTTCCCATTGACTCTGTTCTCCTTCCTCAATCTCTCAACATCTCCACCTTTAAAAGCTTTTACTGTTATCTTTTTTCCTTGTCTCATTGGTGTCTCATCCACCATCTATTGTTAACACAGCATATAAGATCCATCATGTCTTGCAGTTGTGGTCTGTATTTCAGGTTTTTCTATGTATGAATTTATATAAGATCCTATAACTTTGCATTTGCTGCTTCCTTTAACTGAAATATCTCTATGGCTCCTTCCCCACCCACCTCAACTCCTGATAAATGCTTTAGGATTAGCAGAATTAAAGCACCTCTGTCCTCACACCTTAAATGGACCTCTCCAATACAGTCAAATACTGCTTCTTTTGAAGTCTTCTAGTACCCTGTACAAACATCTGTTTCAGCACTGTTATGTTCAGAATTGTGTTTCTCAAAAAGATATTGTTGAGAACTAATGTGAACTTATTTGGAAATAGGGTGTTTGTAGATATGATCAAGTTAAAGTGAGGCCATACTGCATTAGGGTGAGGCCTAATCCACTGATTAATGTCTTTAGGATAAGAGGACATGGAGACACCAGGGGAGAAGACCACATGAAGATGGAGGCAGAGATTGCAGTGATGAAGTTACAAACAAAGGGGCGGTGCTAAAGATAACCAGGAGCCACTAGAACAGCGGTTCTCAACCTGTGGGTCTCGACCCCTTTGGGGGTCGAATGACCCTTTCACAGGGGTCGCCTAAGACCATCGGAAAACACATATATAATTACATATTGTTTTTGTGATTAATCACTATGCTTTAGTTATGTTCAATTTGTAACAATGAAAATACATCCTGCATATCAGATATTTACATTATGATTCATAACAGTAGCAAAATTTCAGTTATGAAGTAGCAACGAAAATAATTTTATGGTTGGGGGTCACCACAACATGAGGAACTGTATTAAAGGGTCACGGCATTAGGAAGGTTGAGAACCATTGCACTAGAAGCTAGAAAGTATTCTGAGCCTCGAGCCTTTAAAGGGCCTATGGCCTTGGGAGACCTTGACTTAGACTTTTGGCCTTTGGAGGTGTCAGAGAATAAATGTCTTGTTGTTTTAAGTCACCTACTTTGTGGTAACTTGTTACAGCAGCCACAAGAAACTGATACAAGTACCAACCACCTATGAGTTTCTTTTTTAATTTATCTTTATTGTTGAAAGTTATACAGATGTACCCTTTTTCTTCCCATTGACCTTCTAGCTCATCCCCTCCCTGCACCCCAGGCCTTCACCACCCAATTGTCTGTGTCCATTGGTTATGCATATATGCATATAAATTTTTTGGTTAATCTCTTCTCACCTACCCCACCTTCTCTCATGGTGCTACAATCACAGACCTCTCCAGGACCTAGTCCAGTGGCTGAGAAATCAGATAACTCAATCAATCTTGTGGATTAATTTAATCTATTATAATGTTTCCTTACTTCAATTTAAATTTATTTTGTATTCTCTCTCAAGACAGGGAGAGACCTGTTTATCCAATAAGTCTTATTTTAACATTCATACATATTTAAGATAGGTTACAAGACTAATTTTACATAGTGTCAATAACTCTAAGGACAACCTCCCCGGGCATCCCACCCTTCCTCTACTTACTCAGAGGTAACAAAGCTGTCACTGATCGAGCATCAAACTTCACAGATTCTGAACAGCTGTCCGTGTCCTCCTCTTGATCGGGAAAGCTATCCCACTGTGCCATACCTCGGTCAAACACATGGAAAAACATTAATTACATACAAAATGGTTAGGACCCTTTGGCAAAATGTTTCCAACTGAATTTTAGAATTAAAATTCAATTTAAGCAAGAAAATATAATTAACTAAATTTACATATCTACCATATATATCAGTATATTATACCTACCCATAAGTTTTAATTGTAACAGTAAGACAGACTTACACAGGACCTACTCATGTATCTTTCTACGCACACATGTACATCTGTGTTTGTAGGTGTGGGAGAGGTAGCTTTTCTTTTTTAGCTAAAACAATATTTTTCCAAGTGATAGAAAACAGTTGTTTAGCTGAAAAGAACAACAACAACAATAAAATCCCTTAGAAAAAATAGTTGTGCAAAATTTGAAGTAAATATTTCCTGTGGTCTTTTATCAGAACTTGATGAGCCAGTTTTTCTTTTGCCAAGGCATCTGTTTATCACTTTGGGCAGAAAAAAAAATCTAATCACTAGATTAGGAATTACAGAAAAAAATTAGTTTTGTTTTTGTTTTGTTTTTTCTTTTCTTACTTGTATTTATTTACTTATTTTTCAGGACTCCTCATTATATACATTGGCAGCATCATAAATATGTCCTTGTACCTTTTTTTTAAATTATTGATTTCAGAGAGAAGGCCAGGGAGAGGGATAGAGAGATAGAAACATTGATGCCATGACTTTCTGGTTCATGGGCCTACACTTAACCACCGAGCCACACTGGCTGGCCTATCCTTGTACCATTTAAAGTACAATCCATATTCTATGATACAATCTGTGCCTCTGTATCTTGAAGATGCTTCAGAATCATTTTAAAGGCTTGATTAAAAACAGATTGATGGGCTTTACCCCCAGAGTTTCCAATGTTTGTGGTGGAGGAGTCAAGAATTTGCAAATCCAACTAATTCTCTCTAGTAATGCTGCAGCTTGCAATCTGAGGATCACTTTTTAAAAACATTTTCCATGAAAATAAATTATACTACTTTTTTTTGGAAACACTTCAGTTCATTTGATTGATAAATTTAGAATATAAAGTATTCTTAATAAATATTTGTTGAATAAATGATCTGATTTGTGTTTAGTCAGGTTATTAGTCTCATATATTAGTTTTGTTTTTATTATTTTTTAAACAAGATAGAAGTTTGGAGACAGGGGAACCAAAAAAGTGGGCTTCTGCTGATAGAGAATTTCTTGGTAAATAGGTTTTGACATTAATTCAGATTTTTTTTCCTATTCTACACTCTTATTCTTTTTATAGCTTCCTTAAACATGAACCAAATGTTAGGGCTGGGTGACTGTGGTGCACTATGAAGGCACTGCCAATCACCTGTTCCTAACAAGCATCACTTTCCTCTTGTCAGCCCACCTGGCATCTAGCTATGGCTATATCCCATTGTAGCTCTCAAGAGAATGTTACTAACATTTTGGTTGGGACAGTTTTTGTTTTTGTTTTAAAGGATGGTCTTAGGTGTATTTTAAAGAGGAAAAAATGTAGCAAGTCCAGAAAGATAATACAGTGATCTAATTTTGGCCTCAATAAGTCAAAATGAATGTTATTTTTTATCCATATACTTGCTCAGAATTCCCACATGTATGTTTTCATAAATTTGCAATTTAGAACCTACAGGTCTGTTTTGGTTTAAAGAACTTTTATTGGGAGAAAGAATTCCGTTTTTTTCTCCCTTTCTTTTTAAAGGTGGATCTAGAATACTAGATGCTCCATCATTATATATATATATATATATACTAGAGGCCCAGTTCACAAAAATTTGTGCACTGGGGGGGGGGGTCCCTCAGCCCGGCCTGTACCTTCTTGGAGTCTGGGACCCCTTGGGATGACCACCTGCTGGCTTAGGCCTGCTCCCTGGGGGATTGGGCCTAAGCTGGCAATCAGACATCCCTCTGGCAGCCCGGCAGCCCTCGGGGGATGTCCACTTGCCAGCGGGGAGCAGACCTAAGCTGCAGTCAGACATCCTTAGTGCTGCTGAGGAGGCAGGAGAGGCTCCCACAACCACCGTTGTACTGGCAGCCATCAGCCTGGCTTGTGGCTGAGCAGAGCTCCCCCATGTGGGAGGGCACTGACCACTAGAGGGCAGCTCCTGCATTGAGCGTCTGCCCCCTGGTGGTCAGTGTGTGTCATAGTGACCAGTCATTCCCAGTCTTTTTGCTGTTAGGGTCAGTTTTCATATTACCCTTTTACTATATAGGATAGAGGCCTGGTGCACAGGTGGGGGCCAGCTGGTTTTCCCTGAAGGATGTCCCAGATCAGGGTGGGGGTCCTGCTTGGGTGCCTGGCCAGCCTGGGTGAGGGACTGATGGCTGTTTTCAGGCTGCCCGCACCCCCTTCAGGGTGGGAGTCCCCATTGGGGTGCCTGGCCAGTCTGGGTGAGGGGCTGAGGGCCGTTTTCAGGCTGGCTGGCGACTGAAGCTCCCAGCCTCTCCTTTTTTTCTTTTTTTTTTATTCTGGGATTTATTTACCTTCTATAATTGAAACTTTGTTGCTGTCACTGGAGTTGAGAGCTGGCTCCTGCTCGCTCCAGCTCTGAGGCTGTGGTGGCTGAAAGCAGGTATCTGGGGTTTGTTTAGCTCAGGGGTCCTCAAACTACGGCCCGCAGGCCACATGCAAATACAAATATTGTATTTGTTCCCATTTTGTTTTTTTACTTCAAAATAAGATATTTGCAGTGTGCATAAGAATTTGTTCATAGTTTTTTTTAAACTATAGTCCGGCCCTCCAACGGTCTGAGGGACAGTGAACTGGCCCCCTTTTTAAAAAGTTTGAGGACCCCTAGTTTAACTTCTATAATTGAAACTTTGTTGCTTTCGGAGCTCAGAGCCAGGCCAGAGCAGGCGGGGAACCTTGGCTTCCTCCATCACTGGAGCAAGCAAGCCCCCTGCTCGCTTCAGCAGTATGGCTGCCAGCCGCCATCTTGGTTGGGTTAATTTGCATATCTCACAGATTAGCCAATGGGAGGTGTGGCAAAGGTACGGTCAATTACCATGTTTGTCTTTTATTAGATAGGATAGTAAGTATTGGGATATTTTTCAATCAATAACTTTAAGATGGAAATACCTATTCCTTCATGTAGGCTAGTCCAACAAATTACTATTGTACCATTACCTCACATACTGTGCAAGTCACTAGACAGCCAAGATCAACGTGTATAGAACATTTTCAAGCACCAAATATCTTATGCACCAATATAAAAGACTAAAATATGTAAATTATCACCAGATAAATTATTATTTATTTTATAAATAAATATAGCTCTGATCTTATTTCTGATCTAGCTCAGAATCATTTCTTTAAATAATATAATTACATAGCTAAGATATGGAAACAGCCTAAGTGCCCATTAGTAGATGAATGGATTAGAAAACTGTGGTACATCTACACGATGGAATACTATGCTGCTGTAAAAAAGAAGGAACTCTTACCATTTGCAATGGCATGGATGGAACTGGAGAGCATTATGCTATGTGAAATAAGCCAGTCAATGAAGGAAAAATACCACATGATCTCACTCATTCATGGATAATAAAGACCATTATAAACTTATGAACAAAAATAGATACAGAGGCAGAGCTGCCTCGAACAGACTGTCAAACTACAGCAGGAAGGCCGGGGAGGGTGTGGGGGCAGGAGGGGATGGGTAAGAGATCAACCGAAGGACTTGTATGCATGCATATAAGCATAACCAATGGACATAAGACACTGGGGGGTAGGGGAGGCCAGGGGATTGTCAAGGGCGGGGGGGGAAAAGGAGACATATGTAATGCCCTTTGTAATACTTTAAGCAATAAAACAATTAAAAAATAAAATTAAAATAAAAAAAATCCTAAAAAAAACAATAACAAAAACCAACAATGATATAACAGATAAACAAACTAGATCAAATGAGCTAAGGTAGATACATATTAAAAGCGTACTGCTGAATGTAAAAACAAATTGTAGAAGGATATCATCACATGATATCATGGATGTAGGTTTTTTGCAAAGGAAACTTTCTATTGCAGAATAATGTAAAAACATAAAAACATACAAATCATAAACACCAGCTCAATAAATTGTCACAAAGTGACATGTCCTTGAAACTAGCACCCTGATAACAAGATCAAACCTTACCAAGCATCCCAGAAGGCCTCTTTACTCTCTTCACTATATCCCTCCAGAGGTAACGATTATCGTAACCTCTAACCCTATAGATTGGTTCTACCGATTGTTGAAATGTACGTACATAGGATAAAAGTGTGTCCTCATTTAGTGTCTGTCTTCTTTGGTTTCATGTTATGCTTTTGATATGTATAATGTTCCTATTGAAGCATGTAGCTTTGTTTGTCCATTCCCTTTGCTCTGCTGGGTCCCATTGTATGAATCTGCCACGACTCATTTATGCACTCTATGGGTCATCTGCACTTGGGATTTTTTTTAGTTCGGGGCTGTTACAAGCAGTGCTGCTATGATCCATTTTGAACTTTCTTTTGGTGCATCTGTGCATGCATTTCCCTTGGGTATACTCTATAGTAGTCGCTGGGTCAGAAGTATGCATACTCTCAGTAGCGACTCCCAACTAGTTCTCCAAATTGGTTTTACCAATTTGCTTCCCTAGAAGTGTCTGAGAACTCCAGTTACCCTGTATCTTATTAACACTTGTTTTTTCAGTCTTTCTAATTTCAGTCATTCTCATGGTTGATGGGAGTGAATTTTAAAACACACTCACACATAAGTAGTATATATCCTGTGGTTATATACATAGTAAAGATATGAAAACATGAATGGAGAGGATATAAACCAACCTTGGATTACTGATTACCTCAAGGCCTAGTGGAGAACTTGAGGGTGGAAGGATAAAATGGAAGGCTTCAACTATACTTTTAACGTTCATTTTTAAACTAGGGAAACAAATATGGCCAAACAAATGTTTTTAGAACTGGGTGGAGTGTACATATGTGTTATTTTTTTTCTCCAAATTACTTATGTTTCATACATA